AAGGTAATCCTTGCTGTTAGTATTGAAATGTAAGTCGAACAATAACAGCCCTTAGCAATTTACACAAACAAAATACAAACCCACCAAATAGTTAAGTCACAACACTGCACACATACACGCACACTCACAACCGCGCCAACGTCGAAAGAATTTAGCGCACCCTCGCACAATAAGGGCGCGCTCACACCCACACACACACACAATCCTACACACACACACTGCCTTGACGCAACAGAGTCACACACAATCAGGTGCCGAGAAGGAAAGTGAAATCGCCCCTCCGTAGCACAAACGGGTCGCCAGACAGCAGCAAAACAGCAACGGGCTCTCTATAAAACAACCAGTTAATATTCATTCGCATGTTAACGTTTTAAAATCATATTTCTAGATAAAACATTTACAGACTCTCAAATAGAAACTTACCCGCAGCCCAGTCAACTGGCTCCTAACGCAAATGGTAAGCAATCCACCAATCATACATGGATGTAGCTAAAAGAATTATTTATTATTAATTAACAGCTCTAAAACTCGCCAGAAATAGCCAGAGACATAAACAGAGACATACCGTTACTTGCTGATGCGATTGCACTTCCGCAGGCCAAAGAAACAGAATTACAGGTTTTTCTAAACACTGCAGGCTTACTGCTCAACGCTCAATGCTTAACGCACATCAAAAGTTTGCACGCACTCAACACACTGCCACTATTCCATGCCAGGGAGATAACGGAAGCAAAACCTCCACACTTTTAAAGGGGTGGCGAGCTTAATTTCTAACTCCATTCACCTAAACATAGTGAGGAAACCCCTCCCCCTTGGGGATCCCCCACTACACGCATACGAGTGGGAAACCCCTCCCCTTTGGGGATCGCCCCATTACATTTACCCCTGGCTTTTCTATCATCGTCCCGATGATACTACTTACAACCATGGACGGAAAGGACTATTCTGAGCCTGACTAGATTGCAATGAGACATCCACCCCCTCTCTATTTAGATGTACATTTTGAACGACTACTGCAGCCCTTGGCAAATGATGCGGGTTTGAATGTTTTCCGGCAGTGGCCCTAGTAGTTCGACGCCTATCGCCCTCTGTTGTTTCCCTTGGGGGATTAATAGCAGGGAGAGGAGTCTCTGCACTCACCAACCTTTCCTGCTCCAATGGTGGCTCTACCTCGACTACACCTGAGGCAAAAGGGTTAACCCCTATAAGGACTACGTCCAAATCATCTACCTCATCCACTGCCACTGAGGAGTCTAAAACCTTATCCCAATTATCTTCTGACACTCCCATCTCTGGTTCAACCACGTGCCGCGAGCCTCCTGTATTAGGTACTAACCTTAAATGGGACCTATGCACCTGCTTCACCCGAGAGGGATTATCAGCCTCTACTATGGTGTATACACCACCCTTACCTATCGGGGATTGGACCACTTTGTAAACAGTGCTGGACCAATGATTTTGAATTTTATGACGACCACGAACACCTTGGTCAAGCAAATAAACTTCTTGGCCTTCTTGCAATGCAGACTCCTTTCCTACCTGACCATGGCGTTTCCTACGAAGTTCTGCGGCTCTATTCAGCCGAGCCCTCACTCTGCTATACGTTTCTTTTAGGGTCTCTCTATGCTCATCCACCCAATCTTTTACCTGCCCACTGACAGGTGCATCCACAGCTGTGAGCAAGAAATCAACTGGAAGTCTAGGAACCTGCCCAAACATCAAGAAATACGGCGACTCACCAGTAGTCTGGTGAGGCGTTGTATTATAGGCAAAACATACCTGTGCGATATGGCAAGTCCATGACCTCTTTTGTTCCACAGACAATGTACGTAATAAGTCATGAAGGGTTCGATTAAAACGCTCGCACTGCCCATTTCCCTGAGGGTGATATGGAACAGTGCGAGTCTTCTGAACCCCATACAACTGACAAAGCTGAGAGACCACTGCACCCTCAAAATTTCGACCTTGATCTGAGTGAATCTGCGCAGGTACCCCAAACCTATAAAACCACTCGTGGATCAAGATGTTAGCTACTGTGATTGCTTTCTGATCCCGTGTGGGCACAGCTTGAGTGTATTTTGAAAACACATCTGTAATCACCAGGACATGTTCTCGCCCATCACTAGCCCGCTCCAATGTAGTAAAATCAACTGCCAAGATTTGATTTGGTCTTGATGCCAGCAAATGGCCCATAGGTGCACGGGCTAGTGGCTGGTTTAACTTTGAGACTGCACACTGACTACATTCCTGGCACCTCTTTCGAACATCAGCCTCCATCCCAGGCCAATAACATCTGTTGCGTATCAGCTCATAGGTACGCTCTCTACCTTGATGACCATGAGAGCCATGCAATTGCTGAAAAACCTCTGCCTGCAAAACCTCAGGGAGCAGCAACTGATCTATTTCCTCCCCCCCACCAGGCAGTTTTAGATGACGATATAGCAACCCATCTCTCTTAAATAACCTGCTCCACTGACGTAGCAGTTCCCGACATCTATTGGACATAGCCTGACGTTGCTCTTTAGTTGGATACACTTTAGAAGAGAAAAAGTTGAGCACTGGGCCAATAACTGAATCCCGCTCCTGCTCCCGTTGCAAATCTACAGTTGAAGTGGTAGGGAAAACAGAGATGGTGTTTTGTGCCAATACTACCGGTTCCTTATGCAGAAGTTCTACCAACACTGCAGGCAAAGTGGTGCCACAATCGTTCTGTGAAGATGGTAGCGCTGTATACTGACGGGACAAGGCATCTGCATTACCGTTAACACGGCCTGGACGATATCGGATATCAAAATCAAAAGCTGCAAGCTGAGAAGCCCAGCGCTGCTCTAAAGCACCCAACTTGGCTGTCCTAAGATAACTCAAGGGATTGTTATCTGTGTACACTACACACTTCTGTCCTAAGAGGTAGTCCCTAAACTTTTCGGTTAGCGCCCATTTTAATGCCAATAGCTCCAATTTCATGGAGCTATAGTTTTGCATATTTCTTTCTGTGGGACGAAGCCCCCGGCTAGCATAAGCAACTGGCCTCAGCTTCCCATCCTTCTCCTGACTCAGCACAGCCCCTAACCCAGAATGACTCGCATCAATTTCCAACACAAACGGGAGAGAGAAATCTGCATAAGTCAGTACAGGAGCAGTCACCAGTCGCTGCTTCAAATTTTGAAAGCCCAGTTCACAATCCTCGGTCCAACAACTTTCAATTGACTTTCCTGAACCCCTCTTCTTCTTTGTCCCCACCAAATCTGCAACAAGGCGATGTAACGGGGCTGCTAACCGTGCAAATCCCTCTACAAAGCGTCTGTAATAACTTGTAAAGCCTAAAAAGGACCTCAACTCAGTCACATTAGTTGGACGCTTCCACTCTGCCACCACACTAATCTTGGCTGGGTCAGTTGATACCCCCTCCTTAGACACTACATGCCCCAAGTAACTTACTTTTTGTTGGAAAAAGCAACATTTCTCTAATTTGGCCTTAAGACCCTCTCGCTGTAGTCGAACAAAAACCATTTCCAGCCTCTCCAAGTGTTGTGCAATAGTGGACGAAAAAATTATGATGTCGTCTAAATAGAGTAACAAAGTCTGGAACCTTTGGTCCCCAAACATGCGCTCCATAAGGCGTTGAAAGGTACTAGGGGCATTGCACAACCCAAAGGGCATTCGATTAAATTCAAATAGCCCAAAGGGCGTGCAAAAAGCGGTCTTACACTTATCTCCCTCTGCCACTGGTACTTGATTATAGCCACTGGCAAGATCCAATGTGGAAAACCATTGGGCTCCACTCAGGGCATCCAGTGATTCTTCAATTCGTGGCAGAGGGAAAGCATCCTTCCGCGTCTTACCATTCAACTGCCTATAGTCAACACAAAGACGAATCTGCCCATCTTTTTTCCGCACAATCACAATTGGAGAGGCATACGGGCTAGAGCTCTCTCTAATCACCTGATTCTGCAACAACTGGTGAATATGCTCCTTAACTGCCTCATAATCAGAAGGGGGCAAGCGTCGATATCTCTGCCGTATTGGCTCACTATCAAGCAAAGGAATCTGATGAGTTATGAGCTCAGTACAACCCAAATCACCCTCATGAGCTGAAAAAACAGATCTATATTTACTCAGCAGAGATTTAACCTGAGCCTGCTGATCCAAAGACAGCTGAGGCAGATCCAAAGTATGGATGGCCTCCTCCACTGTGTCCCCTCTCACCATTTGCAATGCAGTTGTTGCTTGAAGATGGGCCTGTTCCTCTGGTGGAGTCATAACATCTAGCTGTGGAACAGTCTGAACTTTACACAATGTCCCTACTACTACATGCGGCTGCAACAGGGAATCCTGTTCCCCCACATTAACTATGGGTACAAAAGCCACACCCCGAACAATTGGTACTAAAGATACAGAGGCCAGTAGACCAGCCGGAAGTGAATTCTCCGTCCCTAGTGGCTCAAAAAGCAATAAAGGTGAAGGGCCTATGGGTAAGGAAAATGTGACAGGCACAAAACGCAACGAATCAGCAGGGATTCGCACTGCTTCTCGACCCCCAACCCTAGCCAATCTTTCTGTAATCTCACAATTGTCAGTTTCAGTCTCCCTGCAATACTGCAAAGCAGAATACCATGCAGGAACCTCCCGCACAGTAGGGAGATCAAAAAGACTGGAACCATGCTGACTAAACAACTCCCTAAAACACTCCTGAATGACATTCATGCCCAACAGCCCAGGAAACCCACCTGGTAAGGAATTGGGCAGGTCTTTCACCACAAGTACCCCCTTATTCTGGATGTTCTTCCCAAGAACAACAAAATCTAACTCCAGGTAACCCAAATAAGGTATTTCTAAACCATTTGCAGCACGTAGCTGGAGCCATCCACAGCGTTGTAACTTCTCTTTGCCCCAAGGCTCAAAATGTTGGAAAAAAAATCCCTCTGAAATAGTTGTCACCATGGACCCAGTGTCCAGTAAACATGGAACCTCTACCCCACCCATAGTAATATTGACAGAAGGACAATTACCTACTAACTTACAAAGTGCTTGCTTCCCTTTCAACTCAGAGGGCTGTGAGCCAGTGGCTACCCCTCCTGAAGTGTGGCTCAACAATTCAGGGGGTTGAAGTTTTCCGACGGCCTACTAGCACCCACTGCATTACTCTGCTGTGACACCACCCTCGGCTGTTCAGTGGATCTACGAAAATCCACTATACAATTCCGGGCAATATGCCCTGGTTGGTTACAGCGTCTGCAGATAATAGGGTTCACCCGCCTAGATGGATTACCTGCATGCTGGGACTGCAGCTGCTGCAGGCCTTGAGTGAGCCGATTAAGTTGCTCTTGTTGGGCCTTTAACATCTCCTTTAATTCAGCTATCTCTGTTGAATTACCTCGACTGCTTGATGGTGGACCATGTCCTTGAACCCTATACTGGGTAGCAAGGGAGGGGACAGAATGACTTCGTTCACGCGTATCAGGACGAAATCCCTCATCAACCCACCTAATTGCCTCCTTCCTTACATCCAGAATAGTGGACTGTGGATGGAGCCGAACATAACGCTTAAGCTCACGACATAGACTATTGTCAACAACGTGTTCTACAAATTGATCCCTAAGTAAGATAGCAGAATTAGGGACACCACCCGGAGCACATTGTACAACCTTCTCCATCAAAGCGAACAGGGCATGTGAAAAATCTTGCAAGGACTCGCCTTCTTCCTGTTTACGAGAAAAAAACTGCTCCTGGAGGGAGATATAAGAGTATGCACATCCATATAACTCTCTTAACACTGAAAACACCTTTTCTGGATCCTCTCTCTCAACCCTTGGTCTAAATTTAATTTCACTTCTAGCAGACCCACCCAGATGATCAAGGATAAAAAGGGCTTCTTCCCTTGCTGGTAAATTTCTGGCCCGTAAATTACTCTTCATCTCCTCTATCCACTCAAACACATCCTCATCTCCCCTTCCACTAAACGTGGAACATCGTCGCTCTCTAGGAATAAGAATAATACGCTCTGCTATGGGTCTAGAAGCATCTGACACACCAGAGGCATGGGCATTGGTATCAACAACAGAACTAGCACTCACCGAAGGCCTGGCTGCAGAGTTAGCTTGATGCTGTAACTGTTCATTCTCCGATTGCAGGGACTGAACCTGCCTGCGCAGCTCATCCAACTCACTCTCCATCATTAAGGTAAAGAAAAAAACAAACAAAAAAAAAACACAGAAAACAAAACAAATACTCACTAATAACCTGAACAGCGGTGAGTCTTGGAAGGCTTCCTTTAAATCACTGCCCGGTGCTGTTTTGCTGCTGTAAAACAACCACACTCACACAAAAGCATTCACAATAAACAACAAAATGAAACGAAATAATAAAAAAAGGTTTCTCAACAAACACACAAAGTGCCCAAGGATTGAGTACACACCCCTGCTTGTAAAGGAATCCTGCCGACTACGCCAAATGTGACCGGGGCCCGTACTGTACTGAATATAACCAAATAGAGGTTCACTTTACTACCCACAACTTCAGGTTTTCTCCAAACAAATGGAAATAAAGCAGAGATGTGTACAAACAATCTTTTATTAGACACTTAAATAGAGTTTTTTTCTTTAAAATGTAATCATATAAAACAGATAGTCAATTACAATAAGTCACAAAACAATACAATGGTTTGTATAATGGTTGTCAGTGGCCACTGCTCTCACACTCAATATTACACAGGATATACCATTGGGAAAGATCAAAAGGAAAAAGAGGAAAATGCCACACTCCAGTGCAACGAAACCTTCAAAACAAAACACTCATTAATAAAGAGAAACTAACCCACACTCAAAACAAACCACCCGCATAACAAACAATGCCAAAATAACACAACCCTCCCCATATAAGGTAATCCTTGCTGTTAGTATTGAAATGTAAGTCGAACAATAACAGCCCTTAGCAATTTACACAAACAAAATACAAACCCACCAAATAGTTAAGTCACAACACTGCACACATACACGCACACTCACAACCGCGCCAACGTCGAAAGAATTTAGCGCACCCTCGCACAATAAGGGCGCGCTCACACCCACACACACACACAATCCTACACACACACACTGCCTTGACGCAACAGAGTCACACACAATCAGGTGCCGAGAAGGAAAGTGAAATCGCCCCTCCGTAGCACAAACGGGTCGCCAGACAGCAGCAAAACAGCAACGGGCTCTCTATAAAACAACCAGTTAATATTCATTCGCATGTTAACGTTTTAAAATCATATTTCTAGATAAAACATTTACAGACTCTCAAATAGAAACTTACCCGCAGCCCAGTCAACTGGCTCCTAACGCAAATGGTAAGCAATCCACCAATCATACATGGATGTAGCTAAAAGAATTATTTATTATTAATTAACAGCTCTAAAACTCGCCAGAAATAGCCAGAGACATAAACAGAGACATACCGTTACTTGCTGATGCGATTGCACTTCCGCAGGCCAAAGAAACAGAATTACAGGTTTTTCTAAACACTGCAGGCTTACTGCTCAACGCTCAATGCTTAACGCACATCAAAAGTTTGCACGCACTCAACACACTGCCACTATTCCATGCCAGGGAGATAACGGAAGCAAAACCTCCACACTTTTAAAGGGGTGGCGAGCTTAATTTCTAACTCCATTCACCTAAACATAGTGAGGAAACCCCTCCCCCTTGGGGATCCCCCACTACACGCATACGAGTGGGAAACCCCTCCCCTTTGGGGATCGCCCCATTACATTTGTGTAAATTGCTAAGGGCTGTTATTGTTCGACTTACATTTCAATACTAACAGCAAGGATTACCTTATATGGGGAGGGTTGTGTTATTTTGGCATTGTTTGTTATGCGGGTGGTTTGTTTTGAGTGTGGGTTAGTTTCTCTTTATTAATGAGTGTTTTGTTTTGAAGGTTTCGTTGCACTGGAGTGTGGCATTTTCCTCTTTTTCCTTTTGATCTTTCCCAATGGTATATCCTGTGTAATATTGAGTGTGAGAGCAGTGGCCACTGACAACCATTATACAAACCATTGTATTGTTTTGTGACTTATTGTAATTGACTATCTGTTTTATATGATTACATTTTAAAGAAAAAAACTCTATTTAAGTGTCTAATAAAAGATTGTTTGTACACATCTCTGCTTTATTTCCATTTGTTTGGAGAAAACCTGAAGTTGTGGGTAGTAAAGTGAACCTCTATTTGGTTATATTCAGTACAGTACGGGCCCCGGTCACACTGTAATAAGATAGTAAAGCAGGTCGCACACCAGAAGTGCCGCTCAGTGACGCGCAGCACCATGCATTTTAGAATTCGCAAGTCAGTGGCTGTCCGCGGCACCCAGCCACGACTCATGACTGTTCATATTTCTGTTGTGCCACAAAGAGCCATCTAAATAGTTTTATTTTAAATAATGTGCAAATGTGCACGTCTGGTGTGTGATACTATCAACTGTTATGTGCGCGCTGTGCTGCAGCTCCGAGCAGCGTATCACTGTGTGACGCCCTTAAGAAGCATAAAGGGATGCATTAAAGGCACACATGGTAGCCTACGCATTGTATCAAACCATTTCTAAATGTTTATTTCTAAACAGCTTTGAGGGATATGGATGTCAGCGATATCAGGCGTTTGTTATTGTAGCTTAAAGAAGGCAAAGCGCGCAGTATGGCGCATGCGGCGAGCTACTCACTTCATCAACACACATGATCGCGTTCATCTAATTTGCTTAAACTAAGCATTCTACAGTATGGCTACATTTTACAAGCAGGGATTCTGACACAACAACATGCAGCAGATGTTTTACAAAATTTGGATGTAATGGAGAAACACGTCAACCTTATGAAATGTGAGGGCTCATGGAATCAACTTAAAGGTGAGGAATGGACTGTCTTCAACAGCTTGTGACATCATCTGGGATATTATCCGAGTATGTTTACATGGACACCAATACTCTGATTTTAATATGATTAAGATAGAAGTATTTAATACAAACAATTGTACTCGTTGTAAAGTTGTATTGCTGTGAGTTGAGAACATTAATTATAAAGTAGAAACAATTTTGCTTCGTCCTCCTTTACATTCATCCAGTTGTTAAGACTAGGAGTATTCCACAAATGCACAGAGACTCCCGGATACCCGCAAATGAATGATAATCTTCCGGAAATTGAGCATCTCCTACCCGGTCCTTAAATACGTTGCACACCCCTCTCCACCGCTTCCCTTCTAGCTCTTCCGGTACGTCGCGCGCAACTCACCCCAACTGCTCTTCAGGTACGTGGCTCGCAACTCACCCCCACTGCTCTTCAGGTAAGTCTCGCGACACCAATATTAAAATTTTAATATGATTCAGAAAATACTCTTATTAAAAGTCTACCATGTGAGCAGCGATTTGATCTTAAAGGACCTTAAAGGACCACCGAGTCACTAAATGTGGAGGTTTTTCTTTCCGTTCGCCATGCGGTATTAAATTATATTAAAACAGAAGTCGAAAGTTAAAAATGAAACACCCGAAATTACATGAAACTCTGGAGAGCCTGGTTATGCGACATTAATTGTTTTATTCTGAAACTTGCCTTCTAAAAGTGCTTCCTTGGACTTATCCATATTTCTTTGCATGTTGAACATGTCCACCACAACAGGAAGTAAAACAAAAACCTGCAACTGCGTAATTTGTAAAAAAAAATTTTTTAACGCATTAAAATTTTAAAATGAATCGCATGGGTTATAATATATATGTATTAGGGGTGTAAGGGTTCACAAAAATCACGTTTCGGTTCAATACGACACAGTGGTGTCATGGTTCGGTTTGTTTTCGATACAGCAAAAAATGAAAGAAGCCAGAGCATTTCTGATTAAAACAAATGTATGTATTGAAACTAACATCATACAAGTATGATCTTGTTGTTTTTTTTTTTTTTTTACTTTAAACAGTGATAGAGCTATTTCTGCTCAGCAGCAAATAAAACAAATCCTTCTTTATACTCAAAACCAAAAAGCTTCCTAAAAAAATAAATATAATATTGTAGTAGTTAAACAAATAAAAAAAAGAACAATTTAGTTTTTATATGAAATTCAGTTTAATCTATTTTTAAGAATTTTTTTTATTTTCAGAAAGATGAGTGTCCACCTTTTCTTCAGACAGCACGGATCTGCTTGATTTTACTGTCACCTGCCATTTTAGTGGATCTGAAAGCAGGAATTATCTGACTGAAATGGGCTTATAAAGGAATAATCTAACGGGGCCCTATTACATTTAACATTTTCTTAAAACCCAACATTTTCTCTACCGTTTAAGGCAGGGGTGTCAAACTCAATTCCTGGAGGGCCGAAGCCCTGCACAGTTTAGTTCCAACCCTGCTCCAACACACTTACCTGTAGGTTTCAAACAAGCCTGAAGGACTCAATTAGTTTGATCAGGTGTGTTTAATTAGGGTTGGAACTAAACTGTGCAGAGCTGCGGCCCTTTTGGAACTGAGTTCGACACCTGTCGTTTAGGGTATCTCATATGCACAGCTATAAATGTGCTGATCGCCTTGGTGATTTGTTTTGCCCTGTTCGAATCTGTAGGAATTGCTTGTTGGAATGTTGTTCCAGTTACAGTAACTGATTTCCTGATGTCAGTGTAAATTAGTTAATATGCTCAAATATTACCGCTAAAATAGCTTACTGTCAAAGGAGATGTCATTGTTTTTTTCCACCACTCTCTAGATGGCGGTGATGGTGCGTGACGTATCTGAAGAGTGGTGGGGGCGTGTGCGCACGACGTATCTGAAGAGCGGTGAAGGTGTGTGCGTGCGATGTACCTGAGTGACGGGGTGAGTTGTGTCCAACGTACCTGAAGAGCTGGGAGGGATGCGGTGAAGAGGGGTGTGCGACGTATTTAAGGACCGGGGGGAGATGCGCGATGCCGTTTTTGCAACTGTACACAATGGTGACAAAGAGGAGACAAAACAAGAGCAATCGCCATCAGCTGGACAGGAGTGGGAATTACAGTTAGCTACAAATTACAATTTGCAATTAATTTAAGTCAGAATTATTCACCCACTTGTTTTTTCCCTGAATTTCTGTTTAAAGGAAAGATTTCTAAAATATTTCTAAACAGAATAGAGTGGAGGAACTATGACGTCACTTTGTAGGCTAATCGGCTGCTAGCATAAGACTGGTTTCCTCGTGAAAATCCCTATAGGATTTTCCCATAGGGTTTTCGAAGATTGCAGATTATAAGCTCTGTGTTCAAACACGGTTTAGTACACTTACATGTTTTGTTCAGCCAGATAATTGTCACACGAAAATTCAACTTTGAGCACTTTTGGATCTTAAATGCAAACGCAAGACTTGAAAAGCTAACATTAGGCTATAAACGGACTACAGTAACCTCGGGGCGCTCGTTAGTGACGTCAGCCCCACCCTGCTGAAGACGACTTATCAAGCTTATTTTTTAGAAATAATGTCCATTACAAGGAGTTAATCTCTCTTTTTATCATATTATAATCAACACTATATATTATAAACTAATAAATAAGCAAAAACACATAGACCTTTGTGCCTTTTGGATCGTTTTTACGTGGGAAATGCATCTGTTTTGCTTTGCGGTTGTTCTAAAAGTTTTAAAAACCTGTATGAATGTGCCTATATAGTATTATTATGAGACATATTTAAATAAGTTTATCGCTGGCGTGCACACAGCCCGCTTACCTTAACAGATGACAGAAATGAGGCGTGAGGAGAAACAAGTCAATCAAATGCCTGCAAGTTCCATCATGGACACAGAACAACATTCAATATTTCTTTTTTGTCACGAAGTACAGCGAAAAGCAGCCCATACAGTCACATATGCTGAACGTTTTATGGAGGAGTGTAAATACTGCAGTAAAATGTGTTCAGATGAAGAAAAAAAGACGAGAAATCACTTGATCACGTTAAAATGACAGTTAACATGCACATATTTTTACACACTTATTCACACATTTGCATTACTGAGAGCAGGAAAGAAACAGGCTGCTGCACTGGTGAGCAGTATCTTCATAATATCGTTTAATTAAAATAAATGATCAACAAATTAGTCTGTCTCAACAGCCTTTACATGTGAAGGAATTATCTACACACAATTTGAATTCTCAATTAGAATAATACAACAAACTATAAAATACTATTCATGACAATACCTAAATCACAGACAAATCCAAACGCCCAACACAAGCGAGCTGCGCTCCAGACCAGATCAGCTCGATGACGTATATTGTCCTCGACACCGCCTGTGGTCCCATTTAGCAACTTGATAGCAACTGTCTTTTTAAAGAAGCATAATCGATTTAAAAGTTAAAGAGTGTGCTGTAACTGATGTGTTTTATGTCGTAGAACAAAACAAGAAAGTATCTTGAGTTGGTGTTCGCCACGGACCTTATTTAAGCGATTTTACTGAAACCCCATTCAAAAAAACCCATTGACTTTGGGACGAGGGAACCGGAAGTGCTAAAATGCTAACTCGCTTCCGGGTTTTTGCATACAAATTGACGTCATAGTTCCTCCACTCTATAGTTTTAATAACTTATTTCTAATAAATAAATACTTATTTGATCTTTGCCATGATGACATTAAGTCATCAAGTTAATCGTACAGTAATTGACAAGTTATTTTATAATGATAGTTTGTTCTGTAGACTTTCAAAAAAAATCTAGCTTAAAGGCGCTAATAATATCCTTAAAATGGTTTTTAAAAAAAAATTTAAAACTGCTTTTCTTCTACCTGAAATAAAACAAGATTTTTTGCAGAAGAAAAAAATTATATCAGACATACTGTGAAAATTTCCTTGTTCTGTTAATCAGCGTTTGGTAAATATTTTAAAAAATTTGAAAGGGTAGCTAATAATTCTGATTTCAATTGTATATATGTGTGTGCGTGTGTGTATTTAATGAACAGACAGTATAAGAAAATATTCATGTGTATGCATGTGTAAAATTTTGAACAATATCTCAATATCTCAAACATCAGACCACCACTAGGCTGTTCAGCGCTGACACCATACCTGTAAAAGATCCACAAAGCAATAGAACACGCACACACACACACTCAAAGTACAATATGGTTCTCACTTAAGGACATCCATCACAAAACACATGCCAGTGTAATGACCTTACATTTGTAATAAAAATAGTGAGAAAACGAATTGCCATGTCTTTGTGATATTACAATACAGACTACATGCATGAGAACAGATGGGTTAAGTCTTAACATCGGATTTAGTTTCACAGATAATCAACAAACTAGCAGAGCTTATGTCTAATTAGATAGAGCTACTTGCCTCAAGTTTAAAAGCTCAGGATTATCATACAAAGAACTATGACAAATTAGCCATTCAGAAATGTAA